GAGAGTCGGTCAATAATCCAGAATAAAGTATGATTCGGCAATGCACCCAAAAACTCGTTTACGTTGGAAATAGCCTGAATCATCATCCCACCATCCCACAGTTTCCACTGGGCAGCTGCACGAATGAGTGCCATATAATGCCCGTGTCTGTGTAAAATACAGGCAGAAATATGAGGATGGTCATTGAGGTCATTGCCTGGCGTCGCATGATGCATAAGAAGGTGGCGGCCGTGAAACGCTAACTGTAAGACATTTACAGTAAAGCCTCCTGAGGTAGTGTCGTTACTCCCTGCCCTCAGGAGGTGGACTATTATGAGCATACAACAACTGATTTTCAGCAGCGTTAAGCTGATAAGCAATCGTAACAAACTGTGACGCAGTATAACATTGACGCTGATAAGCCTGTAGGCAGACATTTGTGGCTGTCGAACCACAAGAATTTGGTAGGTCTGCCCGCAGATCCGAATCGGTCACCACTGGAAAGCCAGCTGTGATCTGGCGGGGTCGGCGCGTATAATATATATTTTTAAGTTTATTTATTTTAAATTTGGTAAGGAATTTCAATGTGACCCCATGGCAAAAGTTGTTCAGTTCTTTTTCTGCATGGCATAGTTTTTCTTGTTTTTGTTTTTCTTTTTGCTGAGACCTTCTTTGGCCCTTGCACGGCCGGGCCACCCGGGCAAACAAGGTGACCCGGGTGGCCCGGCTGGTAGCCTAGATATACATACACTATGTCACAGAACTATTGACTAAGAGCATGAGCACGTGAAGCAGAAGAAGAAATAAGATGAGCAAAGAAAAGAAAAATGAAAGGACAGACAGGCAAAGAGACAGACAAACCAGAATGACACTTTGTTTCACAGTATTATTATTTCTTTCAGTGTTTAACAAAAAATATTTACACTGAATCAAAGGATAAAAATCAGAAACAAAGACACATTGAAATCATTCAGTTTCTCAGTCTTCTTAACGCCTCCTCCACTGTGCCTCTAACGTACAAGGCTCGCCACGTTGATAGTCAAACAGAGCTGCCGTTGTAAACCGTAGGCAGAGAGGGAGAAGAGGACAACAAACGAGGGGCTATGACAAACTGTTTCGTCGGAGTTTCACCGACTCATCAGGAGGCTGAACCCTATATATATACTTTGATTATATAGTACATCTATCTATCTATATATATATTGTCACATTGTGAATCAGAGCGCAAAGGCAAAAGAAAGCAAAACAAGGAAAGGAACAGAAGTAAGGAAGGAAAGCCCCACCTGTTCATCATCTCTTACGTACAAGGCCAGCCACGTGGATGACAGGTTGATCACTGGCTGCCCCCATCCCCGTATATATGACGATATATAATAGATTTCAATCTATTCAAATCTAAAGTAAGTTGAGTTGGAGAGCCGTATGATAGGTGGCAGCTGTTATCGTTCGGTTATATTGTATTATATTATATCTACTACTAGTCTTGTTTTTCCGTGCACTCCTTTTAAATTTATTAAAAATAAAAATAAAATCAATTAGGCGCTAGGCTACCAGCCGGGCCGCCCGGGTCCTGGGTGGCCAGCCCGTGCAAGGACCAGGGAAGGTCCCAGCAAAAAAAAAAAAAAAAAAAAAACCTATGTTATGCAGAAAAATTAACTGAACAACTTTTGCCTCAGGGTCACATCGAAATTCTGCACCAAATTTAGAAAAAGATGGTCCCCATTTCTTTTCTTTTTCCCGCAATTGCAATTCATCCATCCGACTCTCTCTCCCCCTCATTGATGCATCCAACATGGACCGATTACTTTATTATCATTGAGAATTTTCAAGATATTTAATTTGCTCTTAAAAAAACGAACTTGTATGCTGTTGAAAAATTTAAGCAGGACCACGAAGAAGCCGTCCGGTGGCTTTGTTTGGCCTTGTGGCTTTGGATTGTTTGGCCTTGTGGCTTTGTGGCCTTGTGCAACGTTTTTGTTGCCAGGGTTGTGGAAATTGGGACAGCCATCCCGTTTTGGCCAAATCGGTTCCTGGACAGAATTCCCCCAATGCTTGCACCTAAGCTGGGTAATGGTCTCAGTATTTTCTCCGGGCTGTTTGTGGGGAGATTCCCAGCCTCATTCTTTGGTCTTCCAATAAATGATCCGTTTTGTTAAAAAAAAAAAAAAAAAAAAAAAAAAAGTACATCATCACTATGTTTTATTGTTTTTAACCAAAAAAATTTAATTGCCAAAACCGAAAAAACGGGGGGGGGGGGGGGGGGGGGGGGGGGGRGGGGGGGGAAGTGTAGAAACGAAAAGACTACACCACCTTCTTACTCCAACTGTCACACCAGAAATTTTCAAATTTCTACTTTTTACATTGCTGGATGGATGGATGGATGGATGGATATGAGATATGCAGGAATATCGGTATGGATCAATATGAGATCTGGTTGGATATGGCTGGATGGACGGATATATCCGGATGGATGGATGGATATGAATGGATATGGAGGGATGGATATGAATGGATATGAATGTATATGGATCGATATGGATGGATATGGATGGATGGATGGATTGGATATGGATATGGATATGGATATGGATAGATATGGATAGGTATGGATATGGATATGGATGGGTATGGGTATGGATATGGATATGGATATGGATGGATGAGTGGATGGATGGATGGATGGATTGATGGATGGATATGGATATGGATGGATAGATAGATGGATATGGATGGATGGATGGATGGATGGATATGAATGGGTATGAATGGATGGATATGAATGGATATGGATGGATATGGATGGATATGGATGGATATGGATGGATACGGATGGATGGATGGATGAATGGATTGGATATGGATATTGATATGGATAGATATGGATGGGTATGGATATGGATATGGATGGATGAGAGGATGGATGGATGGATGGATGGATATGGATATGGATGGATAGATACATGGATATCAGATGGATGGATGAATGGATATGGATATGGATATGGATATGGATATGATATCCATGGATGGATGGGATGTGGATGGATGGATGGATGAATGGATATGGATAAATATGCATGTGGATGGATGGATGGATGGATGAATGGATATGGATAAATATGCATGTGGATGTATGGATGGATGGATGAATGGATATGGATAAATATGCATGGGGATGTATGGATGGATGGATATGGATATGGATATGAATATGGATGACTGGATGGATGGCCAAACGGAAGAGTGGGATGAAAGGCGGCTGGATCAGATCGCGGGCTGGGAGAAGAGCTGAGACTGATAGAAACCAAGACGAGTGGTGACCAATCTAGTCCAGCCGCGATCACACAGTCTTCTATCTCCTTTTTTTAAGTGTTTTTTATTTTGAATAAGTGTTTTTAATTTTGAATAAGTATTTTCACATAATAACATAATAATAACGCCACACGACGTCTATTATGGGGGGCTGATGGAGTTACGCAGGTCACATCGCCATCGCCTTGACAGGCAAGATCAGATCTTATCATCTTAGCCGTCCGTACCTTGGAACGGGAGCACCACCTCTGGCCCGGCCGCAACCTGCCATAAATCCATCCAAATACAAAGATGCATGCCATAAATCGATCCAGATACACAGATATACAAAAAGCGAGCAACGGAGAAGGAGAGAGACGGCGAGGGAGGGACGGAAAGTGTGGGTCGAGGAAGGGAGGCAGAGAGCATGGACGAAGAAAAGAAAAAAATAGAGGTGTGTGTGTGTGTGTGTGTGTGTGTGTGAGAGAGAGAGAGAGAGAGAGAGAGAGAGAGAGAGAGAGAAGGGCAATTCAGAAAAGGAGAGGAGTAGTTAAGAAAAAGGAGAGAGAGGTAGTTAAGAAAAAGGAGAGGCAAAGGGAAATAGAGAACGAGACCAAATCCGGCACGGCAAGGCGCAAAAAGCTTAATTAATAAAAGCAGCAGGGGGGGGGGGGGGGGGGGAGATTAACGGATTTACTGGGCACAGACAGAATCGAAACAAGAAGTAATTTACAATTTTTACACATTGATTTTGTCTTTTCCTCTTTCAACCTCTTCTGCAACCCAGATTCACGAAATGGACATGAATATATACAACAAATACAGACCAGATACATGCATACCTCTTTGGGCATTTAACTTTGACGTTCCTGGCCGCAATTTCGGCGTTACTTGAACCGAAACGTCAGGGTTTACAAAACATTGTCTGTTTACAAAACAAAACAAAAAAAATAAAAAACCTCCATGTTCGTTTGGCTAACAAACGGCGAAGAAAATCCAATGTCCATTGATCGCATCCGTACGATTTATAAATAAAAAAAAAAGAAAAAGAGAGAGAGAGAGAGAGAGAGAGAGAAGCACCACTATGCATTTGATTAAAAAAAAACACGGCGTCTGTTTGGTATTTAAAAAACAAAAAGAAAAAAAGAGAACAACTACGCATTCGATGAAAAAATTGCACGGTGACTTTCGCCTCTTTCCCAAATTAGAAATAAAAAATGAAATTAAGTGAACAATTTTTTCCTTTGCCAAAGTTGGAAATAAAAAAAAACGAATTAACTGAAAACAACTTTTGCCTCTTTGCCAAATTAGAAATAAAAAATAATTTATTTATTTTTCATTTTGTAATTCACTCTTGGCCCCGGCCGTGCAAGTGGTCCCGGGCCCCTCGGGCACATATATAATATATTAAATATAATATATATTTGCTATTCTATGTTCTCAGACAGCTTGAGGTCGAGCGCATGTCCTGAGTGAGTTGAAAAACGAAAAATAAATTTATTATTTTGAGACCGTCTAGTAATTTTCTCTCTTTTCTACCCTCTTTTCTTTTTCCTTTTTCCTCTTTTCTATACTTTTCAAAACGATAGGTATATATATTATATTATATATTAATATTATATTTTATATTTTATATTTTATATATTATATATTATATATTATATATGATAATAAATATAATAGATGAGAGCCGATACAGATCGTCCTGGAGAACTGGCCAGTGAATCGCAGTCAGGGGCGAGGTCCCCCACTACAGTAGCAAAGAGGCTTGGATATAGCTCCTGAATCTGGACGTGTTTTAAGCAGAGATGCAGAAACGCAGTTTCATCCCGATTTTCTGCACCTTTCCACAACCACGTCCAGATTCCGGCGTTCAATCCAATCCCCTTCGCTACCGTAGTGGGACCTCGCCCCCCAGAGAAGAAGAAGAGGACAACAAACGAGGGGCTGTGACAGACCGACTGTTTTTCCGTCCCAGTTTTTTTTTTTTTTTTCACCACCTACCCTTTACACTCTGCAGAGTCCCTCTCCCCCCTAATAGAGATAGATCACCAATCGATGATAGTATTAGCCTATTAGGTGTTAAGTGACAATAATCCACCCCTTAACCCCGCCACCAACCATAGTCAATGTCAGTCGATTAAAATGCCGCTGTCTTACAAGCTACCGTCTTCACCCGAATAGAACGCCCGGTCATTATATGCGACAATCAAAGCAGACTATCACTAACACCATGCCATTGAATTATACAGAAACATTTTATATATACTTGTAGAGATGCATAAGAGTGCCACTAGTGTATGTATGGGCTTTGTTTGACAAAAAGAGAGTTATGTTCGCTTTGCACCTGGTCGTAGATCGTCAAACAGAGCTGGCCGATTAACAGTAGGCAGAGAGAGGGGAGAGGGAGAAGAGGAAGAGGACAACAAACGAGGGGGGGGTTGTGACAGACTGTTTCATGTCGGAGATTCACCCACTCGTAAGGAGGATACATATACATATATAGACATACCCACTCGTAAGGAGGATAAATATACATATATAGACATACATAGATAGATATATTGTCACACTGTCAATCAGAACGCGAAGGCGAAAGGAAAAGAAGAAAGGAAGGAGAGCCCCAACTGTTCATCACCTCTTACGTACAAGGCCAGCCACGTGGATAACAGGTTGAGCGCCGGCTGCCCCCATCCCCGTGTGTCACAAGGACCCGCTTGCACGCAGCCAAAAGGCAAAAAAGAGGTAAAGAAAAGGAGGAGGAAACCAAACCTGACAGGGAAAGAAAGATAATCCAATTGTCACAAAGCAAATACCACATCCCATAGATCAACATATTTTTTCTTTTTGATATTTTCTTATCTTCTTTTTTTCTTTTTTTCTTTTTTTTTCTTTTTCTCTTGTTTTCTTTTTTCTTTTTTTTTTCCTTTTCCTTTTTTTTTCTTTTTTCCCTTTTTTTTTTTTTTTTCTTTAACTGTCCCCACCTCGGCAGATAGGACAGCTACGGTGAGGATGATGTGGATGTTCACAAGGATACCCAAGGAGGGCTGCGCCAGCACAGCATTCAGCAGGACGGCTAGCACGAACCATCCCATCACAACAGTCCTGCCAGAGGACATGTTGTCCACATATATCGTCACAGAAATATAAGAGTGCATCGAAAAAGACACAAGGAAAACAAGAAAAAATTCAATTCGTTTTTTATCTTCTTCCTTACAACTCCCCCTGTTCAATACCTCTGCAGACTGTAGAGAGTTCAGCCACTACTGATTGATGAGTCGGGACAACTCCGACGAAAAACAGTCCGTCTGTCACAGCCCCTCGGTTGTTGTCCTCTTCTCCCTCCCTCCCTCTCTGCCTATAGTTTACCGGGCGGTTCTGTCACTGTAAGTGATAATCCACCTTAACCTCGGTTGTGGTTGAGCATCAACGACTGCCCAACAACTGATAGATACCTTGAGGCGGGCACCAACGACTGCCCTCAAGGTACCCATGATGAAAATCAAAGCAGACTATCACTCACCCGCACCAGATGGAAAGCTCTACACACACACAGCAGGTTCACACCTCGTCGAACAGAATGGCCAGATGGTAAACCGTAGGCAGAGAGGGAGAAGAGGACGACAAACGAGGGGGGGGCTGTGACAGTAGAGGCTGTTTCGTCGGAGCTTCACCGACTGACTAATCAGTAGAGGCTGAACCCTCAAAAACAGTCTGCAGAATCCCCTAACTGGCTGATTACAGTGTAAGTGATAATCCACCTTAACCCTCGTTGTTGTGGTTAAGCATCAACGATTGCCCGACAACTGATACCCCTCTGAGGTGGTGGGGACCACCAACCACTGCCCTCAAGGTACCTGTGACGAAAATAAAAGCAGACTATCACTCACCCACACCAGATGGAAAATATATATATATAATCAAACAGATTTGTCACATGATATCAGAGCGCCAAAGCGAAAAAAAGAAAGAAAACAAGAAAAACAAGAAAAACTGAATTCGTTTTTAATCTTCTTCCTTACAACTCCCCCTGTTCAGAACCTCTTGCGTACAAGGCCGCCCACGTGGATGTAGGWTGAGCGGCGGCTRCCCCCACCCCCGTGTGTCATATCGACCCACTTGCACACAGCCAAAAGGCAAAGAGGCAAAGAAAAGAGGAAGGGAACAGCCAAATAAAACAGAACAGGGGGCAACAAAGCAGATCCCAGATGACAAGTCCCACATGCAAGCACCGCCCCAGTCCTACACAGGACTAACGACGGGACAAGACCAACCAGGATGTCAAAACATTCTTGTCTGCAAAGAAATCAAAAGAAGTCCCAGATACATATCTATACACAGCAGATGGCCTTGTTCGACATTCCTATTCGGCGTCATCGTAATCAATTCGTACCGCGACATCATAAAAATCAATCCTCGATGATGATTCCCACATAAAAAAGCACCGCCCCCATTGATAGGCCGAACAACGGGAAGCGACCAACTACGATACCAAAAAGAACCCGAAGGACCGGTATAAAATATATATATATCGTCAAACAGCACTGACCGGTAAATAGTAAATACATAATAATAGACTGAGGAGATCGATCAGATATGGAGAAGATGGGGGAATCAGATAGAATAGAAGATGGATTGCCACATGAATCTCAAACACCATGAGCATGCATTCATACCCAAAAAAAAGAAAGAAAAAAAAAAAAGAAAAAAAAAAGAACGGTTATGGCACTACCTTTGGATCACGAAGAATAACAGGGGGGTTGGGCAGGGGAGGAGGAAAAGACTCCACAAAAAAAAATATTCCGGGTCCCTAATCCACCTTTTTTCTTAGCTTAGGCAAAAAAAACAAAAGGGTCCGCTGTCGCATAGAAAAGAGAGGCGAGGTCAGATACTTGACAGCGGACCCGTCTCCTTTTTTTCTTTTTTTTTCCCTTTTACCAGTATGGCCGACCCTATATTTTGCCACACAAATAAATAATTAAATAAAAAATTGCCCACCTCCCCCTTCTTCGCGCGCCCCTTCGCGCGCCCACCTCCCCCTTCTTCTATGCGAACGCGCAAGTTTCGGACAACGGCGGCTCGTACACTGGTGGTATGATGAATTTAGGAGCTAAACATGCGCATAGATCATTCTTTCTTTCTTCCTTTCTTCATTTTTCATTTTTTATTTTTCATTCTTTTTTCCTTTTAGCTGCTTTTCCCATTTTCCTATCCATGGCGCCGTCACGGATGTCTGCAAGTCACATTGAGTACCGCATTTCGCATTTCGCTGCGCTCTTCATCGTTGCGAGGGTCAAGATATTCGTTTGCCCAGAGTCTTTTATCTGTTTTAAAATTCCTTTTTCCTTCTTTCTTTTTCCCTTTTCTTTTTCCTTTTTTCTTCTTCCTTTTCCGTTTTCTTCTTCCTTTTCCTTAATCGATCGGACCCCCTCACCATTAATCGATCGGACCCCCTCACCATTAATCTATCGGACTCCCTCACCATTAATCGATCGGACCCCCTCACCATTAATCGATCGGACCCCCTCACCATTAATCGATCGGACCCATCCATTCGTGGGGAGTATCACCTGAACACAGGCAACAATCATACAGGGCGGGGGGAAGGGGGAAGGTGGGAGCTTTCGGACCCTCGACATTAATCGATCGGACCCCCGCAACAGTAATCGATCAGACCCCCTCACCATGAATCGATCAGACCCCCTCACCATGAATCGATCAGACCCCCTCACCATTAATCGATCAGACAGCCTCACCATTAATCGATCAGACAACCTCACCATTAATCGATCAGACCATCTCACCCTTAATCGATCTGACCCTTCCCATATCGATCGGAGCCTGACCGTCCACGAATGGATCGAAGGCTTTGTTCACTTAATTAAACAAAGCCTCCGATCGTCGACGGCCCTTAAACAAAGCCGTCGATCGTAGACAGCCCTCTTTTTTCTGACGTTTTCATTTATTGCTGTACGTAGACCCTATAATAAAAATAATAAAATAATTATACAAAACTCCTGCCTCTTCTCCAAAAAAATAATAATAATACTGTAATAAAAATCCGGCCATACCGTCCTTTTCCATCATTTATACCCTCTATACCCTATATACCCTAACCCCATCCCAATCTCTCTCTCTCTCTCGCGCGCGCGCGTACACACAGACATATTTATCGAACCAACAATCCATCTATTTACCAATCTTTCTACACAACCTATCTATTTATCTATATAACTCTACGTCCCTCTTATCGACAGGTGGATCTGTCAATCAATCACATTCTGTTTCGGTTGGTGCTTGATTGGTCAGAGCCTTTCCCCTCTTCTGTACGAGCAAAACCGATAAAAGATTGCACCGTATCAATCCACCCACCGCACCATACCAATCAATCCAGCCATTGCACCATATCAATCAATCCAGCCACGAGATCCTTTTGCTGTTCATACTAAAATGTGAAGAAGAAGAAAAAAAAAATGGACGCTCTTAGCAATGGCCACGCTGCTGTATTGTTCATCAATGATGAACCACCATCTTCCGAAAGCAACTCGGTCATTGCTTGCCACTCTCTGACGTGATTCCAAATTTCCATAGCAAAAGTCGCAAAACTAATACGAAAGAACTCAGCCATTTTTTGCTATTGACAAAAATGCTTTCAAGTGCTTTTAAGCCAATACAATAGCAAAAAAACTCAGCGACTGCTTGCCACTCTTTTATTATCTTCCACCTTGCAGAGCAAAACTGATACGAAAGACAGAATGAAAGGTTGGTGGGGAGTAGAAGATAGTAGAGATTAGATCAGATTCGATAGATAGGCTGATTGGATTTTCATTTTCGGCAACGCGTAACCAATAGGATGGTGGGGGGTGATAGATATGCGACACGTGGCGAAAAGTGAACCAGCCATCGAATCCTGAGTGATAGATTTTTCAGATTATTTAAGTCTGTTTTCGCAGAGAACCTGGACGTACACTCGAGAGGAAAATGGCTGATACAAGTGGGACAGCGTCCCGCTGTCCCCACAGTCCCATTGTCCCACGTTTAACTGCGGTATAAGTTGCTTCGTTTTTCTCCGCACTGACCAGCCATTGGTGGGATTGTTAAAACAGCAATGGTTATCAGCCCAGTTGAAGTAATAACCCCTGGCAGTAGAAACAACCATGGAATGCTGGGTGATAGATATTACTAAATTACAGACGCTGCTTCGATTTGATTTTCGCAGCACCCACATGTACCCTCGACGAGCAATGGCCCACTTATATCAGCCATTGGGACAGTGGAACAGTGGGGCAGTGGGAAAGTGGGACAGTGGGGCAGTGGGAAAGTGGGACAGTGGGACAGTGGGGCAGTGGGACCGTGGAACAGTGGGGCAGTGGGACGCTGTCCCACGCAGTTGAACGTGGGACAGTGGGACAGTGGGACAGTGGGGGGAAGCGGCGGAAGGAATGAAACTTCAAGAGTACATAAGACGTATAATGTCAGGGGAGGGGTGACCGAGAGGAGAGGGAGCGGAGGGGCGGCGGAGGCGAGGAGGGGGGAAAGCAAACAAAAAAAAACAAAAAAAAACAAAAAAAAACAAAAAAAAACAAAAAAAAACAAAAAAAAGGAACACAAAATTTCAGGAAAAGAGGGGAAAAAATGACAGAACGTCAGAAAAAGAAAAGAGTAAACTACCAAAAAAAAAATGGCGGTAAAGCTTGATTGGTCACTTACCGGGACCGTCCCAGATAACGAGCCGTACACTCCAAGATTGTCTGACATGGACATGGCTGATCTACGTGGCGACTAATGAAGAACTACGACGGTAGTTGGCAGACAAGCGCGAAGCTTCAACGTTCATGTGGCTATGGCAGACAAGCGCTAAGCTCCAACGTTCATGTGGCTATGGCGGACAAGCGCTAGGCTCCAACGTTCATGTGGCTATGGCTCCTCGCTATGATTCTAGCAATGAAGAAGACGAAACAACGTTGGCAGAAAGACAACGAAGATGCGATGCGATGGTCACATGTGGCTATGGCGGAAGTGTCACGTTGGCACGATGACGACCAGGAAGGTCCAATGGTACCATGTGGCTATGGCGGAAGCAAGGCGCTGGCACGACGATGAAGGCAACGAAGATCCACTGATCAATGAAGATGCGATGCGATGGTCACATGTGGCTATGGCGGAAGTGCCACGTTGGCACGATGATGACAAGGAAGGTCCAATGGTAACATGTGGCTATGGCGGAAGCAAGGCGTTGGCACGACGATGAAGGCACCGAAGATCCACTGGTCTCATTGATTGAGGCTATGGCCGAAGTAACCACGTTGGCACGATGAAGATGAAGGTCCGATGGTAAGATTTGGCTATGGCGGAAGTACCATATTGACGACGGAGTTTTCTGCTACCTAGTGAAGATGACAAAGCCCCACGTTGGCACGATGACGATGGTGGTCTCACGTTGGCTATGGCGAAGTGATCAGCCATTAAACCTTCAAGGTAAGACCAGATGCCTTGGCGAGGCCCTATGATGAAGAAGCTAACGACGAGCTGGAGAGGAGACCGCTTGTCATATGAGGTCTAGCTAAGGAAGACGCCATGCCCCCATCACATCGCCGGCACCATCTCTCCTTCCTAACCACGACTGAGCACTGACAGCACCGCGCAGCACCACGCCTCTCTCTCTCTCTCTCTCTCACACACACACACTCACACACACACACAACCACACGTGGCCTTTTTCGGGGGGGAGACGACAGCGGCAGGAGAAGGGGAAGGGGAAGGGGAAGGGGACATTCCCCGGAACCTCCGATTCGCGCTGCGGGGCCACCTGAGGACCACGAAACGTGTTCCTCTGCCCCGTGGGGACCACGAAACGTGTTCCTCCGCGCTTCACCAAAACCCAATCTGAGGAACGCAAAAAAAGTGGCGAACGTATATTTCCGCTTTCTGCCGGCACATACACCCACCGTTTTTCGGATTTGGTGACCAGCGCATGGAGGCCCACGGTCTGGCCTTCCCTCCTCCCAATGGAACCTGTGAAAACTTTTGGCGCTTGCTTTTGGGAAATGGGGCTTGCACAGGAACGCCACTGTTGGCCCACGGTCTGGCCTTCCCTCCTCCCAATGGAACCTGTGAAAACTTTTGGCGCTTGCTTTTGGGAAATGGGGCTTGCACAGGAACGCCACTGTTGGCCCTCGCTCCCTTGATACACACGTGAACTGTTGAAATGCAAATCTGAGTTCGAACCCAGCTCCACCAGATGATGAATGAAATGTGATGTCTTTCTCCGTTTTCCAAGGCTAAGGGCCTCGTTCCACTACTCGCCATCCGCCACGCATGGCGGACGCGACTTGGTTCCACTGCATAGCCAATAGCCACGAAATSGAGGCTGTCAGAATTTGGGTGTGAAATCACTTGGCTATGTGCCGCCAAGGCTTTCCATTTCCCCTGCCTGCAACGGCCCTTCGTGGAGGCTCTACTCCTCACCCCTCCGCGAAATGCTTCGTGTGGCCATTGCCCCTGACACAGCCATCCTGACAGTCCACCTGCGTTGTCCCCTAGTGTTGGCAAGTTTTAGCTGCACCTGGGGTGATTTCCAGTACGAGTACATGGTGAAGAGAAGGCGGCCACCGTTCCACAGTCCGGGGAGCAGGCCGGGATAGCAACCACAGCGCACGTGGCGGCGGCGATGTAATGGAACCAAGACCCTTTTTCCGCCAGAAAAATGCAGTTTTCGGCCTCGCCAAGTCTCGCAACTGTTTGTGGCGGATGGCGAGTAGTGGAACGAGGCCCTAAGTAGCCCGACCCAATCTTTTGTCATCTCGACTGAGGAATCTGTCTGACACGCGGGAGGATTGGTCAGTAAGTAAGTCATTAGGCCAACCAGGCTCACCATAATAATTATGGCCCATGCCTTTAGCTCGGCACCTCCGCCACCGTGGGCATCAACACAGTGCTGCTCGATCGCCACCTCCGCCACCATGATGGCAAGAGAAGTTGTGCCATGCACTTCTTCACATCGAAGGCGGAGAATCTCCTCGTATGCAATAACAATGTTGAACCGTTTTGTAGATGAGTGGGCTAAGACCTACTAAGGAACTCTTGCAAATTGTTCTTCCTGCTGCCAACAGAAGGAGGTAGTTGAGAACGGTAGCAACAACCACTGACAATGGGAAAGAAAATCGACTATATCTAATGGGCTTCTTGTTTAATTCAGAAACTTTGATCAAATTCATTATCATTTACCATAGTATCTGCAATATTGCTTACTTACAAATGAGAGTATTTATTATTAATACATATCACCAATTATGCAAATAAACCACCATGAACAAAGTCAATATCCGAAGCAAGAAGATATTAACCATAATGCCAATAAAATTTTATTATGTTTTTTAATGATAAATCAATGTAGTCAAAAATGTAACTCTTTGACTCGCATAAAAAAATTATCCCATCTTAAGTTTATTTCATAGACAACATTAAAAACTAACGTAAAGTTTTTATACATTTAAATAAATCCTTACAAATTTTTAACCATAAAATAAATCCTCACAATTTTTTAACCATAAAGATTATTATTTTTAATGAGATACAAATTTGGTAGGGAACTCAGACAATTAAATTATTATTGATCTAATTTTATAATAATACTATAAGACTGACACTTCGTAGAGGGTGGGATATGCACCACTTCGAGTAATGCACATAATCAAGAATCACCCACAAAGTTGACTGACACCAAGAGAAAAATCAAACGGATGGACACGAGTGATGACAGAAGTGTATAGCTAATCTTAGGTTGGCAGTAGGGTGGAGTGAATGGATTTTGGCAGCGCGTCTTATTAAGTCAAAACTGAGGCAGACTGACTACCTTGTCGGTTGCATCGAGGTTATTGTCGAAGCGAACTCCCTACTGGCGGCTCAATATAATGTTTTTGTTTATCGAGTTCGACCCGAGGTCGTCAGGTTTCATTTCGAACTTGTGTTATTGGTTCTAACATATGGTGTTCGAACTCTTTTAGTTATGGTTTCAACTTATGTTGAATCGTATATACATGCTTATCGGCTATGATAAATTCGTTGATGTAATTAAGTGTCGTTATTATCACTTTCGTCGACTAGTATTTAAAGAATTAAGATTATTTTGCGGTTTTCACTCCTGGTTGGGGTCGTCCTAGTCGACTTGCGTCTGTTTCGTACTTAGGAGATCATCGCCCTAAGGGACGAACGACGTTCGGATGCACTTAGTGTTTAACCAAGCGTTTCCTATACTGCAGTAAATCAAGCAAACGTCATCGGTTGACCTACCTCTGCGACTGCATGTACAAACTTTCGTAAGTGAGTCAGCAACTTGGTAGGGATATGCCCCTAAGGGTGGTGACAACCCCATAGGGAAGATAAGTTGTGCCCGTGGGAACCTATCCTTTCGTAGGGGACCGTGGGAAGTACGATTGATGCACTCGGCTAGAGCAGTGAGGTAGCAACACAACCACGTGCGTCTCGAGCCAAGTCTGTCTCGGTGGTTCGCATGATTATAAGAGCGTTGTCCCCAAGTTATCTTATTATTTTGTTTTCTTTAACTGTTGTGTGACGTGACCAAGATAGTTTTCATTTTTTACGAAAAAGGCAGGAGTCGGTGCGCTCAGCAATGTCATACGAAAGTTGAGTTGAAAGTCCTACTGACCTGTTATCGAATGATAACATAATTGGAGTTTCGTATGGATTTTTTCGTAAACTTTCTCTCCAATAATGACCAAGACCTATAAACTCAACACACTCCAATACAATCTTAACACCTTTTTTCCGTACCATTATCTAGATGATTTTTTCTACATAATACGACTCAGAGGGTCGCAACCACCGATCCGTGTGAATGCTATAAGTAACTTTTGTACTACGATTAACTCTACCTAGTTGCAAAGTCGTTGCCTCACGGTTTGTGCAATGTCAAGTATAACAGACAACAATTTATTCTCTCTCCGCCTGACTCAATAATCTTGGGTAATGCTCACTTAACCCTTTCTAACCTTTATGACCACCAACCTAACATTTTTTCTTTTGAATTTCTGTCCACTGTTGTTTCCTTCCTTATTTCTTATAATTGATCCATTATTTCGCATATGTTTCTTCTTTTAAACATGCAAAATAAAACATTATCAATCTCATATAGAACAAAATTATAAGATAGAAATAAATCAAGAGGTTCCAAGATAGACCTACCATCCCCACTTAGATAGAATCCGATAGTGATTGTTATAAATTGATTATTCTTTTGCGATACTTTTTTTTCCCCTCGATCACTGAAGAAGGTATTCCGATAGTAGGGTAAATCTTTTGGGGTATACTCTTCTTACTTTCGCTCAAGCCGGTCAGCGATAGCGCAAAACTCACGGGGTCGCACCCCTCTTATCACCGTTACTTGGTGTCGGTTGGTAACAGAAAAGACCTCACATGACCTCACTCCTTATATTCACAAACTTTTAGTTGTCTTAGGCTAATTGGTAATAAGGTAGACCTCACAGGACCTCGCTTCTACCACATCCCTTCCACAAAGCAAATACGTAATAAGGCAAACCTCATGGGGTCTCACTCCTCCTATCTTCGGAGCAATTTTTTTATGAAGAACACCGTCACCTTTCTTAAACTCTCTCATCTTTGAACTAAGAGCATGTTAAATCTTAGATCATTCAAAAAAATTTAAGTCAGTAGGGTAGGTCACATATGTCCGCATCCAATGACTGAGGCAACTCACAATAAGGTAGTTCATTTGAGAATTTCCTTTTAATGTGCACTTTCAAATATTGTCCGACTCTCATTTGACCCCTGTTAATTTATTTTAAAATGATGTGACTATTAATCGAATGTTTGACAAAAAAAATGTTAGTCAAGTATTTTCCATTCATAACACTTTGGTCAAATATTAAAGAATCTCAACAATCATAGTCATACATAATCTAATAATTTTCATAGTGTCAAACTGAATTCACTGTGATTCAATCTTTAATAATTTAAAAAGGATATATCAAGCACAGCAAGACCTCACGGAGTCCACATCCTTCCTACCATTATCCATCCAAAATAAACATGCACTAATAAGACAACTCACATAGGAGTTTTTCGTTCTCATTATGTTTTTCATAATCAGTTATACATACTCAATCCATAACCGAATCGTTTTTCATATAGTCATTGTCTTTCATATGAAAATTTATTAGCTCTTCATACATGTAATCCCACTTGCTTTAACTTAAGCCTTATTCTTAAAGAAATCCAATGAAAACAATAATATTTTCTACCGATACAAACATAGGCAAACATATAAAAGTCATAGTTTTTAAGAGTTTACGGTTTATATTTACAACACGTGTACCTTTCTATTCCCTGCATCCAGAGTTCCGCCTGAACTCCGACAAAGTTTTATGCCACCTAGATGTGTCTAAATCTTTGTATGAAAGTTCAAAGTTTGACAAAAGTCAAAGTCTTCTCAAGGAATAAAAACAAGGGTATAGTCTTGCAATCATGGTTAAAGATTGATATATATAAGGATTAGACAATGGGTAAATGACAAAGGATTAAGGAGGTAGGCACCATCACAACTGATGACGACTCTCTCCTCTCCAATTTCTCACTTCTTTACATTCCTGACCCTCCTTTCAGCGTATGATTATCAACTAATTAGCAATCATAATCAGGGTCATCATCCCGTACGTACGGAGGTCCCCGGGCAGACCTCCGTACGTACGGGCGTTCGGGGTCCCGTACGGGGTCAGAACCCGACGGCGTTCGGCCCCCACCAAATATT